CAAAATACTCCTTTTTTCAGTGTGTCACTGTTTATACATACGCAAACTTAAGTTATGTTTTATAAGCTTGTCTTTCAAAAAATATCCAGAGAACTTCACAATAAATACAGCTGTTTATTCTAACTGTATTTAATAAAACTGACGTCCAGATACATTTACATTTCTGACTAATGACAGGTGTGTTAACATCAAAAAACGCTGTCTACAACTGCAAGATCAGGAGTAACTCCATCTGACCTCCATCATACAGCAATAGCAATGCAACAAAATTATATTACTGTTTGTTGTAGAAGGGGCTTGTTTTATATGATGTCACATGACAAAATTAAAACAAATTGAATGGGAAGATGAAAGACTTTAATAATGTATTTCCCAGAAGATATTTTTAAAATAACAGTATGAGTGATTAAAAATTCCACTCCACATCAACTTTAATAGCTATATACAACAGAAACAGCCAATGTAACAAGTCTACAGGATCAGGGTCAACGTTTGCAGCTTTATTATGGAGAAAAGTTCTTGCATAGTTATCTGTTTACTTACTCTCCAGGTCCTCCACAATAGCAGTAGCACTGCTGGACATTAGTTTTATGGCCTGCGTCCCACTCAAGGTCTGTTGCGTTATATGGTAATGTTTGTTTCATGACTTGCAGTGCTTTGGCATTTGGTCCTTTCTTAAGCGCACCACCTCGCTGAGCCAAAATAAATACACTAGTTTACGAAAGTAATCATACATTCCAGAAACTTTCAAATCCTTTAATATGAAAGTTACAAAAGTTTGTCTATAATCAAATACAGTGCTTTCACCTATCCTTATGCTTTAATATACCAGCATATTTTCAAAAAATGAAATGAAAAAGGAATGTCACCTATTTCTAAAATAAAGATTAATTCCCAAAATACAAAACTTTTTCATCCAGATCAAAGTTAAAAAGAGAAGTTGCTGAAAAAATGCTGTATTATTTGCTGGTTTCAAATTCAAACAAGTTATGCGAGCAATCTGGGAATATTAAGAAGTTTTTTCTAGGAACGTACCTTTGTTGTTGTTGCAAAAACACACTGTCGACAGAGCCATTTATCATCTGAATCAATCACACTGGAATCAATATTTGGTGTGTGACACAGCTGATGATAACCTATATTAAGTGCGATTAACCAAGGTAAAAAAAGGCAAAAGAAAAATAACTACATATAATTTTAATCCAACTATAATGCATTATCCTTTGCCAAGTGCCAAAACTCTGACAAAAAAACAGTAACATTCAAAATGGTCTTTTAAATTTTCTCAGTAAAAAAGTAGCTTTACTTACAGAAGAGGTGTTAGTTACTTTAGCATGTATTATAATTATTCACGGAATTTTTAATAGCCTCTAAGAGCTGTAAGATCAGTTGAGCAATCATTGATAGCCATGTAAATATACTCCTTCATGAAACAAATGTCTTTTAAAATGCAGGAAATAGGAAAAAAATCTAGTTACCTTGCCCACATTTATCACATATAACCATTTCATTCGGTGCTTCTGAATACTCTTCCTGACATATTGTACAGACCATTTCCCCACTTTCAGTGGCTCCTAGAAAAAGACAAAGGTATGATTTTTCTCCCCCAGACTACATCTGCAGTTGGAACCATCACCACGTACATGTTTTTTTGGTAATGAGTTACAGATCCATGAATGGTAGAAACAGATTGCTACTGAGACAAACTCCCTAGCAAAAAATAAATTCACACATTTTGAACAGACCTTAAGTATCTGCATCACTTATCATAGGCTGCAGATAGATTAGGCTATATATTGCCTATTGACTATGTATTCTATGGTTCCTCAATATATATAAACAACAAAAATTAAATATTTGAATAAAGCATATAAAAACAACAGGAAGTCAAACTCTGTATAAATGAGGTCCTGGAGTTTTCTGTTAAGACAGAATTATACTCTATTTCCATCCAAATAAACACAAATGTGATTATTTTTAGAAGTGTTTTACCCTTCTGCACATAGTTATAGGAAAACAAACAAACAAAAAAAGTAACTTCAAGTTAAAAGAGTTTTTGAAAAGAGGTGAGGCTTTTTGTTTGCTTTTTAATTTGCTTAATTCATGATCCTGGGTCACATTAAAACTATGTTGCTCTTTAGGAAACAAGCATACAATACAATCATTTTAGCAGATATAATACTCTAAACATAATACCAAACAATGACTACTTCACTGAAGTCCTTGCCTGTTTGTATGTCCTTCCAGAGAACCCAGGATTTGGAACTGTCTTCAAATATAATGAAGCAGTTCTGTTTCAGTTTATTTATCTGAAAAACATGAATACAGTGGAAACCATGAGTAAAAGGACCAAGTAGAAGAATATATTTAATCTTAAGTAAGTGAAACAATAACGCTGTCTTATTTAACCAACATACACTGTAAGACTCTATTGAAGTTAAACAACTGTTTACCTTTTTGATAGTTCCAAGATAAAACAAGCCATCTGACCATCTAGCTAGGACATCCTGACCTTCTTCAAATTTACACAGTGGCTTTTTAGCTTTCTGCCCATCACGTAATGACAGCTTGGTCAAGGATGCTGAGGTCTTATGGCTTCGATGTAAAGGAGACCGCTTATGGACCAGTGAATTACCCACCGCTGTAGAGTCTCTGAAAGAAAAGCAAGAGAACATGTAAACAAAACTATAGTAAAGTAAGAAAGCTGTTATTTTAGATATTGATGATATACCAATACAATTCACTTAGCTACCTCCAGAACTTCAGTTCCGTAAGAAGCTGGTCATATTTTCAGACCCTGCAACTACAAGACTCCACAAATTTGAAAAGATTAAGTTTTATATAAAAGAAGAATCTTCTATGACAGTAATACAGATAGGGATGGAGACACTCAAACAACTTTTCTGCTGAATCTCTTCATAAGGGTACCAGAAGCATCAGAGAATGCATCAAAACAATCAGAGGATTGCTTCTGCAAATACTTATCACTGTAGACACTGTCAGAGTTCTAGAATTCCAAGGAAATTCCAAGGGTCCTAAGACAATTCTACTACCCCAGTACTGAGAGTATCAGTCTACAGTTAATGTGGTGTACAGCAGTTAGCTACTCAGGGTAGTAAGATATGACGTATGGGGGAACAGGAGGTTGAGCATTATGCTAACTCAAGGTCCAAGTTAACTCAGATACACTCAATACTGCAACATGTTTTGCCACTAAACATAGCCGTAGAGGTTTCCAGCACAGGAATGGCTTCTACATGTTATATTTCTAATGTAAAACAGTTTACTTTTACATTAGAATAAGAAATGAAAAGTGTGAGGTCTTTTCGCCTTTTTTCACACATAAAATCCAATTTACACAATTATTAGAATCGCCATTTCTTTTTCCCCCTTCATGATTCCATAATGTAAGTTTTGCTGCTTCTCAAATGAAAGCTATTTAATGTTAGCACTGCTTTTCCCAAGTCCTGCTGCACCAAAAGAGGAGCAGCCAGCAGGTCAAGGGAGTTGACTGTTCCCTTCCGCTCTGCCCTTGCAAGGCCCCACTTGGAGTGCTGTGTGCAGGTCTGGGACCCCCAGCCCAGCACAAGGAGGATACGGAGCTGGTAGAGCAGGTCCAGAGAAAGCCACAAAGATGATCAGAGAGCTGGAGCACCTCTCCTATTGGGACAGGCTGAGAAAGCCGGGGATGTTCAGCCCGGAGAAGGCCTGACCTTATTGCAGCTTCTCAATACTTTCAGGGGGCTTATTAATAAAAAAGATGAAGAACAACTCTTTGCTCAGGCAGATGATGACAGGACAAATGGGAACGACGTTAAACTAAAAGAGGGGAGATTCAGATTAGTGGTTGAGGGAAATTTTTACTATGAGGGTGGTGAGGCACTAGAAGAGGCTGCACCGAGAAGCTGCAGATGCTCCATCCCTGGAGGTGTTCAAGGCCAGGCTGGATGGGGCCCTGGGCAACCTGATCTAGTGGGAGGTGATCCTGCCCACAGCAAGGGGTTGCAATTATAAGGAACCTTAAAGACCATCTAACCCAAGTCATTCTAGGATATGATTCTACTGATACTACAGCCTCTGACAAAGACACCAGGATGCATGGAGCATTCAAAATATCAGTTTATAACAAGAGAATTGCTGTATCTGAGCCCGTTAGTCTGGGTCATTTTGCTGCTTAGTAAGAACATTTGCAAGTCTTTTCCCCCAGCAGTGCCATCAGACATTGCATAAAAATTTTCAAACTATTAGGAACTCCACATTCTCATTTTAACTGCAGTCAGTCCAGAGCTTACTGTTTCTCTTCCCACTGTGTGTTTTCTTTGCATTGGATTTCACTTGCCATTTCATTACCCAGCTACTCAGTAGCTTGAAGTTCTTCTGTTTGGCCAGCCACCTTCTGCATTATTCCAAATAAACTTGTATCCTCAAAGTACTTCATTATTTGAACTCACCATCTTCTGTACATCACTGCAAGATTTTATCCCTTCTCTTGTGCATTAGCTTTAATTTTTGGAAAAGCCTTTGAAATATGCCATCAGCCCTTAACACTTGTTGCTGGCCACCTTCTATTCTCTCCTTTGTATCTGTACAAGCATTTACATACCCAAGTACCAAACAGGCTTTGAAACCAGCCAGTAACCTGAGGATGAGAATTAAAATTTCAATTCCCCCAACTCCTCTGATTACATAAATACCCAAGCTCGCATAAAGCAAGCAATGTTCGAAGGCTAGGCAAGGTTAGTTCAAACCAACCTAGAAATAGCTGTGAAACTATAAACTGCTGTCTTTTTTTTTTTTTTGAAAGGATTCATCATTAGGAAGTATCGAAGTATTCTGATACTACAAGTTATATCATCTCATCTATAAGCTTGATTTAGCTTATTAAACAGGTCAATAAAATGCAGTGGGTATTCTAAATCACCCAAAGCAAATTGACTAGTCTGGTGTACCCTGACACAGTTTAATGCGTATATTGACAGAACAACTCTTCTAGACATTCAAAGGTTTTCTTTCCAGCTTTTTATTCAGTTTGATTTATAGGACTAGAGAAAGTAGCTGAAAAGTAGTAAGTGTCTCTTCTATAACAGCACATGACAAGGGTCTGAAAGATCTTGGACACAGTAAGCAAAAAGACAGTCGAGTCATTTATTATATATAATCTAGTACAGATTTCCAATTAAAAAAAGCAAAATATTTTGAGTTTTACAACAGATATGATCACGTGCTTGTGAAGACTTCCTTAGTACAGAAAAATTTGTCCCAATAATTCCAAAGTATAACTTAAGTGACTAACTTAAGTGCCTACTGCATCATTTCCTAGTACAGAGCACTTCTACAAGGAGTCTATACATGGCCTCATACAACAGCCTAAGCTCACAGTAGATGCTTCAAACACCAAAGAATCCTGACTCCATGAAGGTCTGAGCCAATAAAGCAGACACCTCTCCCCTGTCCACGCTGCCCACTCTATGGGAGACGATGCTGCTGAAGTGATGACCGAACAGCTCCATAAGTAGCTCCTGCCGAGGCAGTTTCGGGTGTAACTTGATGTGTAGACAGAAAACAGGGTTAGTTGGAAAACAGGCAGACAGCTGCCGTCAAGCTTTGCAGTTGCTTTCCGCATGAATCAGAAATTCCTTCTCAGTGAAACTTGTCCTCAATGTTTTAATGGAGATCAAGTGGAAACAGCCACTGTTTTAACTGGTTGATTTTAATTACCAAACGCTTACCAGAAAGTTACAGTAACCATTACAATCAATTTATAGGACATTAAATGAAAATGCAAGTTGCACTAATTCCTTGCCATTTTGAAATCGATCTAAGTGTTCCACACTTTTAAGGAACTTGCTTTCAGGTCTTCCCTAATGCTACCTCCATAGCATCTTCCCACCAATTTATAGGATTACCAAAAAAATTAGTAACATTTAAGTAACAATTTACTCACCATCTTCATTTCCCTTCTAGCACTTCTCACTGCAGAATACTCAATGTCTTACTTCTCTCCCTCCCCAAAAAACACATCTAATATAAAAACTTTACCTAATTTAACTTGCACAACTGATCTATGTTGCATGTAATACAGAATGTCCAACTTAAGCATTATATCTTTTTATCTTTTATTCAATACTGTTTATATGCTGTGGTTCTACTCTTATTCAAGCACTTGAAGTCCAAAGAAAGTACTTGCATACCCATGTAATTCTTCAGTAGTAGAGGAATTCAGTCTGCATGTTGAAATATGCTTCAAAATAGGAAATGCCCTTTGACCATTTCTTCATAAGGTAATCTCGTGAAGTACTGAGAACACTCATTTTTTTTTTCACCTCAGGGTCTTGACCATAACCCTAGATATTCTCAAGGGCAGAAGCCCTTCTATTCATCTACATAATGAATTAAGTTACAGTAACACGCTACAGTAGGAGGAGGTCATTGTCATTCTTTGTCAACTGGAATGGCAAATTCCCTCAGAAAGTAAGCTACCTAGATCTGGGTCAGTATGTGGACTGAACCATGACAACCTATTCATAGCATTGTATCTACTAAAATCGAAATTAGAACTTGCCAGGTATCTTCACTGGAGGTTAGAAAGTCTGAATGTTCATGCGGTGCCTCTGACTACCATTTCTCCCCAAAAGCCCTATAAGAAGACTTAGGGAAGCCAGGCAGAAAAAATGCGAAGAGGATGGCAGCATTCACCCTCTTGATTCCAAATGCCCTGTTTCCAAGTACCAGTGTAGGTCACTCATACTGCTGTACTTCTTCAGTTTCAACAGCTGCTCTGAAGCACTGCTGCTAGGAAGAACTCTGCCATCATTTCTCCTGGCAGCTCAGTTTGCCTGTTAGTTTCACAGAATAGTTTGTCAGCAAAACAGAGCAAAGGCAAACAAGCAGCTTGGGACAGGAACTCCCTCAGCTGGCACTGCCAGAGCATACCACTAAGCACAGAACATCGCGCTGACAGCCCAGGCAATTTCAAGAAGCTTGTTTCAGAAGGACTGCGTGATTCACAAATACTTCACCAGTTACAGGTGATCATTACCCTATGAGCCCAGGTTTTGAAAAACAATTCAAAAACATTGTTAGCACTTAAGCATCCGAAACATTAACAGGAACTTTAAATTCACTGAGAACTTATAGGAGGAGGACCTGGAAATAATTTGTTTATTCCCAGTATATACAACCCACACGGCAGGGAAGCCAAGCTTGGATAGTCCAGCAGGTTTAGAAGGACCTCAGTCTAGAAACAGGCACACATTCTTAATATTTACTTGTATACACACACTGCATCCTATTGAGACAACTCATAGGTCCCAAAGCTGCCTCAGAACTGGAAGAGGTGACATCACACAAGTTCATTCACTAGACCTTCCTCTCTTATAATAACTAGAGATAATTTTATGTTCTGATCAGAAGTAACTTCACCCTTTGAGTTCCAATCGTTGTATCTAGAATTAGATGAAATGTATGCTTCCATTAACCTTTAAAAAAACAAAACACACCCTCAGCTATGAATAAGGGTTGTAAAATGCCAGCAGTCTGTTCTGCTCTTTAACACAGGACAGTCAGCATCTCACAGGGACCAAAGTGGGGGGGAAGCTAACAAAGACTGGGAACACACCAAGCAGGACAGTTCCGTGTGACTGATCCAACACAGCAGCTTGCTCCCCTCCCACCAGCTCTGGGATAACAGACTGACTTCTCCATAAGCTTCCTATCCATTTTCTCCCCCCTTATTGTGGATTACTTTTCTGATACATTAAACAAGTTCAAGCACCTCACAAAGGTGACCAGACAGGTGAACAGCAGGTAAGCAGCAAGAGCTCACAGCCAGAGGGTGGCAGAAAAGGGGAATTAATCTCTTCTGGAAGTCACAGTCTTAGCTCATTTACCCAACACTGCACAATCAAGTCCAAATCCATTCTTCCAATGCAGCTGCTAGCTTGCAACTGCATTTTCCTTCTCCCTTCCTTGCACCATCTCTCCTACTTACCAGATCCTAACACTGAACAATATTAGAGTAATAGAATGGCTCCGTCTGGAAGGGACCTTGAAGATGATCTAGTTCCAATCCAAAATACTGGCTCGCTGTGGCAGCAATAGCCCATCCCCCAAACAAAAAGATTCTGCTGGGCCATGAGCGAAGGCAGACATAGTAGGATACTTCCCACGCTTGCCCCAAATCCAAACTTAAAATCAGTTTGATCCAAAAAACCTAGGAAGTTCACTTTGCTTGTGATAGTGGCAAATTTGTTGCAGTAGGCACTGTTCCACACTGTTCTACACACTATTGTATTAGGAAGTCGCTATACTTCTAAGCAGAAGCTCCAACACATATCTAAGCACAGTCTGTCCTTTTGTAGTGATTCATGGAGCCACTTCCAATGTGCTGTCACAGAACATCTACAAGGTGTGCTTTTAGCACCTTACCTTCACACTACTTTATGTTGTAGTATGATGAAAAGCCTAAGCCACATCACTAAAGTGCAGGAAAAAAGGATAATTGAAATCAAACCTAGGCATACCTCAACCTAGAAAAACAAATAGCAATGGTTGTGGGAAAAGAAATACATTCTCAAAGTTGTTCCACTAACCCAAGTGAGGCTAAGCAACCTATGGTTCCTGTGTTGACGTTTTGGCCTGTCCTGAAGATGGGTTTAACATTTGCTATCTCTAGTCATCGCTGACTATCCTTGTTCTCCACTACCTCAGGTGACAAAAAGCAGCCCCACAAGCCCCATCAGTTACTTGCGTGCTCCTGAAGGCAGCCCACCTGGTCCCACGGTTCCATACGAGTCAAGTTCACATTCTTATTTAAACATGCGCAGCAAGTCCATTGGAAGCCCACTCCAGCAAGCCATGCTAAACAAATCCTTTGAGGGTGGGGAGGTTAAAGTATCATTTAAAGCATGAAGACTTCAGCATGAAGGTTTCAGGGCAACCACTTGCTAGGTAAGCTGCTCCATGGTAGCAAGAAGAGAATTTTTAACTTGTTTACTTCCCAGCACTACTTGGGCATAACATAATAGTATTCATCATCATCAGAAGTGATTTCCATGCAATACATCACTTACATTGCTATCCCAATAGGGTGGCTGTGTTTTTTTAATCATTTAAAAAAAAGACTTGCCATGTGTCAAAAAAGACCTGCTGTGATTTTCGCTCCAAATTACTCTGTACGGTTACACACTTCAAATAATTTTGTACTCATGACAGAACATCTTTTCACTAGTATTTTCTCTTAAGTATTTCTGTCCTTTCAAAAATATATCCATCACATTACATGATAAAAGTACTAAATTTCACCTTTCTCCAAAAAAGTGGTACTAAAAACTAAGAGGCAGAAGCCAATTCAGCTGATTAGCAGTTGAGTCCATGAACTGAGCACTAGGAAGAAGCTTGGCCGGAAGACTGAAGGGAAATGACTGTTCCCTTCTACTCAGAACTCTGAGCGTGAAGGATATCATATTTGGGGTTTCCAAGTGCAAAGTAAGATACAAAACTAGCATGTGTTCGCCGTAGGACTACCAAGATGGTCAAAGACTGGAGCACTTGGCCTGTGAGAAAAGGCTGAAGGAGCTGGACTTATTTTGCCTGCAGAAGAAATGGCTTCAGAGAGACTGTAACAGCAGTCTATGGGAGGATTAGCAAGATGGAATTTGTCTCTTCACAGTAGCACAAGGCAGAAAGACAGGCCTTCATGTAGTGGAAGTGTAAGAAACTTCCACTGTAAGTGGAAGAAAGATGTTCTGATGAATATAGGGGAGAAATTTTCCCCCATAAAGACAGTTTAACAGTGAAACAGAGGCCTAGAGAGGTCGTGCAGCCTCCATCACTGAAGGCTTTCTAGGGCTGACTGAATAAGTCCTTGAACAACCTGTCCTGGTGGATGAAGATGCACTGAGCAGAACTGGGGACTTCCCCAAATCATCTTCTGATCTTATGAAGTATGACTCTCCTTAACAGGACCAATTCATAACAGGAAAAGGAGGAATGCATTTATCCCAGCAGCCACATAGCTCTATAACAACACAAACATTTCTGATTTTGGTTTTATTTGATCAAGTCGCCCTTTAAGAAATAACTGGAGGTATTTTAATTGTGTTTGACATGCAAAGTTAAAGTATTAGTCCTTAAGTCTTCATTAAGGAAGAACAGATTTCCCTGCATACAGTAGTACCTAGGGAGGTTGGCTGGGGTAGCCCTGTACCACCCCATTTGTTTGGGACTGATCATGTGTTTATACACAAAAAGAGGCAGAAGGTAGCATTAAGGAGAGAAGAGTATCAGGTTCTCAAATCAGATCTTCCCTTAAACATATACTTAACACGCCCTTGAATGTAACAACTGCCTTTTGGGCTTCCACAGGTATCCAAATACAGCATGCCCAGCAACGCACCTAAGGGAGTATAGAATGGGCAGGCACCCAGGCTGTAGAGATTACAGACAACATGCTGACTTGCACTGGAGGGAAAAAAAATAAATCACAGGTGATCAAAACTCATGAAGATAGATTAATTTTAAATTTATTACCATGCAGCACTCCTAAGAGCCAGTTCTTATAAGAAACCTTTCAGATATAAGTCTAACTAAAACATAAAAAATAAAGTATTATCTCCAGGTATTTTAGTTAGTGAACAAAATATGTCCAGACTCAACAGGAACACTAATCACTAGTTAACATCTCTCATAGAAAATCAAGCCTCTCAGACTTCACTCAACAATAGAGATTCTACCTTCTAGGAAGAAGCCATCAGCCTGAAAGGTAGGTTGTTTAAGGTGCAAATTAAACTAGTTTCAGTACTTCCACTAACAGGTATCACCTTGCCCAAAGACCCTCCAGCAATACCTGTGGTTTTATAATTCTTCTCCTATTGTGCTTTACTCAAAGACACACATCCCCTCCATTTCCTGCAAGGAAGGTCTGTAAAGAAGGTGAAACCAACTGCAGCAAGCTCAGTGGCAGTCACACAAAAAGTGCTGTCAAATCACAAGCCAAGTAGAATTCGTTCCGGCTTTCACTTACTTGGTTCTTCCATCCAAACTTCTTCCTCTACTCCCCATGTTAGTTGCGCAAAACGTGGTTTAAAGCAACTTTAAGTGTCTCAGGTACTATCTTTATTCACGCCTATCTCCAGGAAATACAGATGCCCACTGCTTAATAGCAAAATGAACTGCAGCTACTTGTTACAGGAACTCTTCTCATACTTCACCTGATCCCCTAATGCAGTGCCGAACTAGGGTTTCTGAGTTCAGTCTTGATACTAACTAGCCACGTGTATCACCTTCAGCTAGTTGGAATATATACACACACCTCAACTGCTAACCAACTACACCAAGCCAACATTTACCAACTATACCAAGCCAATTCGTCCTGGAGTAGATATGTGGTTTCTCGGAGTTGTCTTTCATATAACTGACAAAATGTGGGTTAACTGCAGAACGCATGACTGCTAAACTCTCACTGTAATGCGCGTTTCACTAGCTTGTAGCTCCTTGCAGAGAGCCATCCTTCTCTCTCAATACTTTATTATTATCTTTCTTACATTTTATTTTCAATCTTTGTACCCCCTTGTACTCTTTTCCCTTAAAAAGAAACTAGATGTATTAACCTCTTTCCTAATACTATTGTAACTATGCTTTTTCTTTTCTTCCAAGAGATTTGTAATTTGAGCTCTCAGAAGAGGGACGAACATTAGGTTGTTAGCTTTTAGCAACCTGATCACAGGCAACAAAAATCAGGGAACCTGTTTTCTTACTACTCCATGCTTTTGCAAGCTTAAATACAAGACACTTATCACGTTCCCTTACACTGTAAAGCACAAAAACAAACACAACACGCAACCATCCATCGCTGTGTACGGCCCTTCCGAGCCAGGAGCTGGGCCCAAGCGCCAGAGCCGCAGGGGCCGAGCAGGGGCCGAGCCGGGCGTTGCGCTGCCCCCGGGCCCCTCCTGCAGCCCGCGGCCTCCTCCTGCTCGCAGCGCCCCGGGGCCGCCCGGAGCGCCCAGCACCGAGCCGCATTGTTCGGCCCGGCTGCCAGGAGCACCGGCCCTGCCTCCCCGCGGCGGACACGCGTTGCCCGGCGGCTCCCGAGGCAGCGCCCCGCCGAGCACGCCGCCGGCCGCGCTGCTGACACAGCCGGGGCTGAGGCACCGCAGGAGCCGGCCCCGAGCGAGCGGCCGGCACCGCCGCCGCCTCTTTTGTGTCGCTGCCTCCACACGTGAGCGCACGGAGCCATTTCGGGCAATGCCCACGGACCGGGGGCGAGGAAGAAAAATAAAGAGACGGGGCGCAGCCGGTGCGAGGCCCCCGCCCGCCGCCCCCCTCCCTTTGTTGCGGCCCCGCTGACCCCCCCGGGCCCCCCCAGCCCTCGGGGCGGGGGTGGGGGCGCTGCGGGGCCCGGGCTGCCGCCCCCTTCCCTTCCCTTCCCGTCCCTTCCTCCGCTTCCTTCCCTCCCCCGCCGCCCCTCCTTCCTCCTCCCCCCTCACCTCATTCGGTCCCCCCAGTGGTGCCAACCGCCTCATGCAGGGAAATCGCCGAGCGCGGCAGCGGCCTCCCCCCGGCGGCCCGGGCCCCTCGGTGCGCGGCGGGACCCCCCCGAGCGGCGGCGCCGCGGGCAGGGCAGGGCAGGGCAGGGCTCAGAGCCGCCTCAGGGCCAGCCCGGCCGCGGCGCAGCCCCTCGCCATTTTTGTTTCCCGCGGAGGAGCCGCTGGTGCATTGTGGGAGCACAAAGGGCCGCCGCCCCGCCCCGCCCGCGCCGCCAGGCAGCTCCTCGGCCGGGGGGCGGGGCGGCGCGGCGGCGGAGGAACACAGGTGGCGGCGAGCCGCTGCCCCTCGCGGAACAAAGGCGGACTACTTTAGGCGTGCGCGCCGCGCCGCGGATCCGTGCGCTCGGTGCGGCGCTGGGGCGGGCCGCGCGCCGCCCTCCCCTCCCCTGCCGGCCGCCGCCCATTGTTCGCGGCGCACCTGGGGGCTGCGCGCCCGGCCGCGGCTCGGGGCCGGCCCCGGGGGCCGGGAGCGGCCGCGCGGGGCCCGGGCCCGCGGGCTCGGCAGCGCGGCGCTGCCATTTTGGGAGCCGGGCTCGGCTTCGGGTTCTGCTCGCCTCCGCCGCCAGCGGGCTGCCCCTTAGCGGCGGTGCCCAGCGCTAGGAAGCCTGCCCCCGGCCCCGCTCAGCGCAAACGGCGGCTGGGGCAGACGGCCCGCCAGCTCCCGCCAGAGCTGGCCTCGGCGGCTGGTGGCGGCCCCGTCCCGCCTGTGCTCCCCTCGCACGGCTCGGTGCCGGCGCTGCCTCCTGCCCCGGGCCGGGCCCACAACGGGCCCGCACAACGCCGAGGCCCCGTTGGGTCGCGCTGCAGCCGGGCGCTGCCAGTGCTAAAGGTCACCTGCAGGAAGCAAAGCGCACTCAATCCGAGAAACACCTGCGGGCCAGCGTTCATTTTTTAGTCACAACAGTGATGTGAGCAGCAGTGCTTAATTAAAGAACGTTTTTTCTACCCACCAACAATAAACGTGATGAAACGTTGCTCATTGCCTCACAGCTGGCTTTTTCAGAGTCATACAGGGTGGGCCTGAAGCAGTCTCATCCTGTATCCTTGAAACTTGTCAAAGCGGAATCCCTCCCTTCTGATTTCAATTTGTTTAACCACCAGCATCACTATCTCAAAAAAGAGGTTCCTGGCCAGCCAGACGTGCTAGCTCAACCCTTCCTTTCCTTAGAATATTCTTCTGCAAACCATTTGCATTGCTCCAGCACAGAGCTGCACGGCCCCATCCTATCCATAAAACACCACTCCCATAAAACACCACTCGTCACCAAGCCAGGAGTCGCTGCTGGCTTGGCCTTGTCTTTATCTGAGAGCAGCACTGAAAGAATCCAGGAATCCCTGTGTTATATAAGAATAATTAGGGTTTGATAAACTGATTCGTGTGTTGTTACAAGGATTACACTAGTAAGGCTAGAATGTCGCTCCTAAATCTTGTTACCATTAGCTTTATTACTGCCAACAGCGGACCGTATCAGTATTTTCCCACAACCTAGATTCCACTTTTTTTTTTCTCCTATAATATCCAAGTACCGTATGAGCTCATAGCTAAACCACAAAGCCATTGTAAACTTCATATCCTTTAAGGCCAGCTTTTACATATGGCTAGAAAAATTCCAGACTGTGTGTTGTCACACATACACAGCAACCTCACCGTAATTTAGTAACTCATAATAGAACATCCTTTTTTATTCAGTTTAGCAGGTCACTGGATATCCATCTGAGAAGCCCCTTTCTACAGCAGGGACTGTGTCACTCTTACCCACCTGCTCCACCTATTAGACCACATAAACCTAATGGTTGTGGTATCCCTAGACACTGGTGACTAAGCTCGACTATTTGTACTCTAGGAGGATAAATTTGTGCTGGAAGAGTCACTTTCATTTTTCCCTTGCCCAACCTAACCAGATGATGATAGGATTGGAAATCTTACCAGAAATGTGCAAACAATCATTTACAAATGTTTTTCAGGTTAAAATGCTCAAATCAACAAACCTACACATGCTGCAGCAGAAGGATCCTTGTTGTCACTGGCATATGTGGGGCAAAGACAACAACAGCGACAGTAAAAAATTAGTTTAAACACTCCTTACACAATTACCGTTGCTATAGTATGAGACATGTATGATTAGGCCAATTTGGAGCAAGCTAGAATCTTCATCTGTTTTCTATTCAGCACTAGCGGTGAAACAAGCAGTTATACCTTCTGTTAACATATGGCATGACTGTATGTCGTGCCTTTAGACTGAGCTTTCCTGCCTTACTTTCTTTTTCACTTCTGTTGATACCTCAAAAGTACTTGAACATACAGTTTAAGCAATCCCTATGACTGCGTTTTCAATTTGAGACATCTTATATATGTTTTGGCATGGAGTGGGCAAAGCCAAATTAAATTACTGTCCCTCCAATGTCAGTAAGGGCTTTCTTGTACAGAAATTTCAGGGGAAAAAAAAAAAAAACAACCTTGATAATCCATTAGATTCTGTTTAATAACAGGTAAGTTCGGGTTTATTCCACCTAATTTCACAAATAGCTCTGTTTCAGAAGGGAGCTCAGGAATAATGACCTGGCACTGACTTTACATTTGTTTATTTTTGTGCACATATTGCTAGGCAAGCTCTTACCGTAAAGTCAAGCAAAAGCAAAGTCTTTGCTTTTGAAAAGCATTTCTTGCCTCAATGGATGGCACAGTAGAGAAAAAATAGATCTTGTATTCAAAACAAATGTTATTTTACCTAGGAAAGCTGGGCACATTTGAAGAGTTGAACATGCTTGGCATTTCCCTTAGCCAGTGGTCTTTCTCTTGAATGTTAACTTATTTTTTTTCAAAGCTGGTATCGTTTCCATACTTTCCTTGTCACAATAGCCATATTAATATTAAACAAAACAAAAACATACACACAAAAAAGTGTAAGTCAGCAGTATATGCTGATAACAGCACCAACTGCTGTATGGTATTATTTTCCATTAGCTTATTGTATCACACAGCGTAACATCAAAATGATACCCTTGAACAAGACAATACTGTAAAGCTTATCCTTGTACAGATGGTTGTCATGACCACAATTCAGTAAGGATGGAAAATTAGATCCCAAGCCCTTTTCTCTGTAGTATTTAAGCATGGGAACAGCGAGAAAGCTCACCTGGGCTCTTGCTATCTTAAAACAAGATAAATATGATACATCTATTTTTACATAAACATAACAATCAGTGAGATGATTCACTTACATTACATTTGTTGTGGCTTGACTCAGAAAGGAATCTTCACTTTCAAAATTTAAAAAATAGGTAAGTGATTTTGTGATATAAAGTATTTTGTATTGTCTTATATCTAGGTAATAATTATCATAAAATGAGAGACATTATTCTGTCTTTATACTAAAAAAATCAAAATAGCACTGAAAGTATTTTCAAATAGACACCTCTCGATATTTTTGTAGACAGACAAAAATATGAATATTTTTTCATCCTTGTATATCAACCATACAGAGGAATATATATGAATATTTCTGGATGTAGAAAACACTGCTATTGGTTTTCACACAAACACTTTTTTCTAGTACAAGCACTTTACCATTCCCATCTTCTTTACACAACTGTAACTTTCCAAGAACGATCAGGAAATCCTGGGAAAAAAAAAATGTCCTGTACTCCCTCATCTCCTTGTGGTTGTCAGGATATTGGTAGATGTCACACTGAAAATATTATTTTCAGTGTATTCACCGTCACAGACATTACTGATCTAACTTAGATCATCGATACATATAAAAAACATCACATTTGCTCCTCTAATCCTGATCAGTTATTCATGTTACTTCATTCTTACTTCCTTAATTTTTAACAATCCACTGCTTGTAACTTTTGAAGATAGAATATCCTTGGATTACTGCAGTTCTATTTTATACTGGAAGTCTCTAAAGCCCGTCTGTACCACACACATTAAATACCAATTGCTCTGTGGGTTAGTAATGATCCATTTGTATCACAGTCTCTGAACTAAGCCACATTTAAACTGGAAAAACATTAGAATATTTTTTTACCTTCTATAAAGTAACATTCAACAATTTCTCTCTGTTCTTTCCCTAACGCTATCAGTCAAAGTACTAAAGACTTAAAAAAATAAAAATAAAAATCTGTTACCTCTGCATCTAATAAAATACAAATGAGATGCATGGGAAAAAAGTTTCAACTTAAAAGAGTCCTTAATACTTGATTCATTTAAAATTTTATTCCAGATGTATAACCTTTCTGAAATTACTTGTAAAACATCAGGATCTTGTCAGGATCTGTACACCTGGTCCTTGGTAGGGGGACCGATCTTCAGGTGCTATATACAGCACAATTCAAAGCACTTGGAAGCACTTAGAAGCTGTTAAATGTTCTCATAATTTTAATATAAGATTATTATTCCTAATTTGCAGTTCATACCCTACCACAGCTGAAACCTCTGTTTGCTAGAAAAGGCTGAATAAGAAGTCCCTCAGTTCACATATATATACAGTGGAAGAAAGGAAGTTTTTAACAGGTAGGGGTATGTCACAGCTGAAATAGTGAGTTTAAAATATATTATTTTTATGTTATTTACAGCACCTTTGATGTTATACTAGTTAAAGAGGAAAAAGGTGTGTTTTGTTTTTGTTTTTTTTTTCTGTAAGATATATGAGCATGTATCTGGTATTTATCTTGGATATACTGGTATTGTTTTTATATCTAAAGACAGTGAGTAAGGTCCTAAGGAGAAAAAGTAAATATATGCCTTGATATGGCCTTACTGAGGATGCTCAAATGTGAATTATTGTGTTCTTACTAACAATGCTGTCTTTGCTATATCAAAGGCTTACAGACACATATAGCATTACTTTAGTGCTAGAGAATAGCTAGGAACCATAGCTCATCATTGTTCTAGATAATGGGAATCTTGTGAAAGTATGCAGTAGTCCTGACCAATCTTTTCTCCCATTTTTTTCTGGAGGCTAGTACATAAAAATACGAGCTAATTACTCAAGTGTTGGCATCTGTGAGGTTTAATCCTCCCTCTGCACTATCACTCTATTGCTGTGTTCATATAACTAGCTTCTTCCAGAAAACCAACAGCTGCCAAGATTTGAAGTCTTGGTAAATTGCCTGATCTAAAAGAAGCTCTGGTTCCCAAATTCCTGATAATTCAGTCATACAATGGCATGATGCATTCCTTTGCTTGCTTTCTAAGTACAGGTCTGAAAGCAGCTACTGCAGATTTAGAAACTTATAATAATCCATAGTCAGCATTTCAGAGTTAAAGTCTAAGCAGCAACCTTATTCATTCACTTCAGCTGTGCTCTGCCTAGTTGCAAAACCAATTGCAGCCTCAAATACTTCACTTTATGGTGGGTTATATCATAACTTCTTGAAGCCTGTGGCACCACATTTTTATGTCAAGTTTTTGTCTGCTTCTCTGTATACCATAAAAACGTCTGCAAGAGCAGAATCTCCAGCTCTTATATGGTTAAATTTTGTAGCAGTATAGAAAAGGCTTACCTCTTAACTCCAAACTGAAGTTTAAAAAAATAAATAAATTTAATAGCCCCTCAGGACACAGTTACATGGCAGAATATTGCTGTTTCATCTGCAATGAAAAATCTGTTCTGGACATCAGTCTGGCCAGAGGGAGAATTAGTACAGCATTCCTTCTGCGCTCCACCACCTGGAATGCAGTATGGGCCTTCTCACAATCTTTCAGCAGACCTGCCAAGTCCCACTCAGATGGAAAGTCCCTCACTTCTTTTCTTTTTTTAATAGCATCTGATGAAGATGGAGACAAAATGCTTTTGAATGGTGCAGAATGACAGGATCCCATAAATTCAGCTGCAGGGGCTGAAGATAAGGCAGCAACCCTTTCTGTTGCTGCTGCCAATCCAAGACAACCGAGTTTGTTTGTTTGTTTAAAAAAAGCATTCCTAGGCTGATGTACTAATCAAGTCATAAATTCCCTACTTTATTTTTCTACTGTTTATAAAACAGTGGTGCTGTTATATTTGTTAGATTTGATATGCTTAGGTAAAAGGCTTAACCTAAGTATAATTTTTTTGGTTAATCCAAGCATAATATCTACTTTCTTGCATATATTTTGATCTTTCCACATTTGTGCCAAGTTATCTTACCCTGAAAGCCCTGATTATGTTCTAAAACAGCATTGCTTATCTGCATTCACCTGAAAAAAGATACATAAACAGGATCAAAATCAATTTTCATTACATAAGACTTTCATTTTCTGTTTTGATAGTCATCAGAGAGGCACTGATATTTCTACCTGCATCCATCCCTAAAATCTAGAGCTGCCAAGCAGATAAACTTTTCTAACTTTTTTTTTTTTAATTTTAGTGCTATATGCTCTTGTGGTGAGATAAAAACATTAGTTAAAGATCAGTGGAAAAACAAAACAACAGCATGCTCACTCTCAACATCATCAGGCTGCAAAAGCATAATGTAAGCCAGATTGTGCCTCAGTAAAGCATTAAATTTCTTATATTAACAAAATAGGGGGGGAAATGCTCTTGCCAACACAAGTGTTATATTTCAACAAGATTAACGTAATTAAAATAGTATAATCTGATGCTATCATAGCACAGATGTAGTTACCAGATAGCTAAATTTAAAGGTGGGGTTGGGGGGAACATGACACAGTGGCACAGCCTGCTGAGCAGACCCCTGCCCTACCTTTTGCAACTGGTGTGAATTTTACAAAGCAGCTGAACTGAGCTAGGGGCTGGCTGCCATCCAGAGGGGCAGCCCTGCCCCTTCCCTCCCAGCATGCTCAGGCTCCTCTGATGTTAGTGAACATCTTCATAGCAGTAAGCAACAAAGCAATCCCCAACCCTGGCAAATAGTTTCCTGCTTGTTCATTACCCCGGGCTTACTCCTTACCGAGGCAGGGGAGCACTGGGCCAAAAGAGGGGTGGGGACGTGAACCCCAGAGAGGGGCTGCCAGCCCAGCTCTTCTTTGCAGTTCGAGCTGAGGGGACAGTTGTGTCCCAGACAAGCTTGTCCCCCAGCTGCTGCCATATAAGGTTGCACCTAGTTCTGCTAAGGGAGAGCTGACTTGTCAGCTGTGCTGCCTGTGCCTGGAGCCACACACATGCGGCCGTGCAATTGGCCAGATGAGCAAACTGTTTGGGCTGAAAAATATTTTTATGCATATATATACATAGCACATAGGTATGTATAAAAATGGCTTAGCTTGCAGTAACTTAATTCTTTTAAAATGGGTTGAGGGGTGCTCACTCTGCTATGGAGCTGACAGTATGCATAAATTGAGGAGAGAGTATAGAACCACAGCAGCATAAGAAGTAAAAACAATGACTTTAGAAAATGGAAATGAAAAGAGGCTTATTTCTTCTATTCCAGTTACAGAATGAAACATCCAATCAGAACAAGCCAAGAAGGAAATACACATCAACCTTCAGTTTTATCCTGCCATCTCTCCTTTGGATAGCCAAACGCATGTTCCATGGTCACAGGCAGCTCATGAGGTGATAACTGAAATATTTCTCTTTATGGGATAGGAGAGCTGCTTCCTGAGTCAGGAAAGCAGAATTTTGCCAAGCAGGACTGCCAAGTAGATGTGATGACCTTGTGAATTCACTTGAGCTGAGGCTTCCCAGTATCACTGGGATCAAGGACCATGCACCTTCCCAGCCCAGGCAACACCGATGGGTGCGCAGTGGTATGCATGGCTCTGTTCTGCTCCAGTACAGCAAATCGAAGTCCATCCTCCTGCCCAGGAGGAAGGCAAAGGGGATTATCCAGACCTGGCGTAAGCAGATGTCAGGACAACTTCAGGATGAGAAAAACCACATTCAAGGGACCTGCCTGTAAGAAAACACCCTGAGACAAATGTAGGAAGACAATGCACAAAAGGTAAAGCACAGTTAAGTATGGATGAAGATTATCTAATTCAGAAGTCAGTTTGCTATAGTTTAATTGTCCTTCAAATTACAATAGCCTGATGACAGTTTGCTTTTCACAGGACCTTTACCAAACTGTCTCAGATTTCCCAGTTAGGAACAATTCTAGATCCATACTTGCCAAGAACAGGAGGAAATTCAGGTGAGCTTTAGTAAGACACCATGCTAGCATGCTAGGTGATTGCCAAAAGTAGAACTGATTCTTTCTTTTTTTTCCCCTCTCTTGGAATTCAGCAAACAGGCTCAGAGGTCAAGTAGTGATGGCCTCAAAGGACTTTTTAATTTACTGCAGGTTTTGGGATTTAAAATGTCTGTGACAGTGCTATGATACTAGTAAAGATATAATACTGTATCAGATTAGTAGTGTGATTTAAATATCAGTGGATAGCCTGTGGTGAAAAGGCCATCTTTACTTACTAGACCTGTAAACCCAGGCCAGAAACTGTAAATTTAGTAGGAGTTAATCATTGGTTGACTATGCAGTTTTCTTTGGTTTAGAATCCACACTGAATCATACATACTGGCTGGTTAGAGAGATGGGGAAAAAAGACTGAAAAGCTGTGTGGTTTCCTCTTTGTTCTGATTAACAGTAACTACATGTTAATTTAAAATTTCTGACACTTGAGAAACAATAACTGCTGTTAGAGTTTGACTCTGTCCGAAAAACCTGCCACGAACCTATATCCTCAGCTGTGTAAATGAGTCCAGGTTCAAACAATATTGTGCAGAAGGGTTTTTATGAAGACAGTTGCAGGATAAGAACAGGAGGTTGGGATAAAACAGAGGTAACATGCAGTCAGCTTGGGTGTCAGTAGACAGTAAGTACGTGTATTAAAAGGCAGTCACAAAATAGAGCTTGGAAACTGTGAATCTCACATAAAAGCTGACCTAAACTATAAAGAAGTTATTTAGATATTTAGTTATTCAGATGCAGGCATCTGAAATGTTTTCAGAGAAATTGCACTATCAAATACAATGACTGCATTGACCCAACTACCAGTTAACCTTTATCAGAGGTGTAAAAGTCTAACAAATACTCTTTATGTCTTTGAAGAAACATTCAATTTACCTCATTCACTGCTACTTTTTTTCAGGTACACTCCCAAACCCCAAGCCCAAATTGTTTTGTGGGTTGGAAATATGGGTTTGTGGATTAAACCTCCCTTTGTGCAGCTACATAAGATCCAGAAAATGTTTGACTGCTAGCTAAGCCAAAAGAACATGCTTTATCTGTTGTAATGACTGTCAGGGTGTGATGGTGCTGGCATTTTAATGCTGTTTGGGTTCTGAGCGTGTACAAAGAGAGCTCAAGATGTGCACAGCAGTAGCACTGTTTATTGTAACAGTAGTGAGTATATTTAGTTTATCACAAAAGATGTATTTTCAATGGGTTTCTTCCGAGTTAATAAATGCTTTAATTAACTCTAATAGTTTATTCTTTATACAGTTAGACAAATTATAGCTACATTTTCCATTGACTTAACTGTACCTAAAAAGCAGAAAGCCACATGAAGTACATTTTGCATAGTAGCAAAGCCTTGTTTTCTTCCAGCTCAAAAACAAGGAATCAAATAGCACAATCTGATGTAGATTCGTACAAAAGCAATCTTAAAATAAAGCTTTGAGGCCTACGTTCTTAAAGATACTGTGTGGTTGAATTACAGAACGATTTGGTTGCAGCTCTGTGCTATGTTTCCTTTAGCAGTGAGGCTGGTTTAAGAAGTCCTGCTATCCCCACCTCCTTCTCAGTCCTTCATGCACCCTCAGCACAGGCAAAAACTGTTTGTTCAGCTGCACTGTGGATGTCATCACAGAAACGATCTGGGTTGAAAATAACCCCTAATTAAAAATAATTGAATAATATTGATGATCTAGGTTGGAAGACTGTCTCAAAACTGTTTTACCCAGAATAGGGAGGGAAGGAGAAGAGGTGACTATGACAAAGAAATAAAATGAGCTGGGAGGAGGCGGGGGGGGAGGGGATCGTTACTGTTGTGAACTTCAATATTGCTGAAAAAAAAACACCCTAAACTTTGCAAAATGGGTCAGTGAGAGCTGCAGCAGCACACAGGGCCAGGCTTGCAGTGCCTTGCAGAAACTGGGGGTAAGATACTTTTATAGCATATCAATGTCATGTAGTCAGTCTGCGACTGCAGTGCTACTTACTTCCCAAAAGTTTAACAGAGCATAGAAATAAATACAATACTGCATACTATTTTAGCTTTAATTAGAGTTTTAAACTATTACTTCTCAAAATTGCCTTTTGTCATACAGTTAGGGAAAAAACCTTCAGAAATGCTGTAACATAGTAGTTGGTGCTATCACTTGTTTAGGTTTTTATATAGATGGAGTGAAAATATCTGTTCAAAATGTGTACTATTATGTAAAGAACTTATTTTATAGACTACTGAATTTATTCTGCCTCAGTATTATTAATAAAGTAAGAAAATAAGTGTGTGAATGCAGTCCCTTACTTTGCTTAAAACAGCATTTTTGTTTTAAACAAATTTAGTTCTAAGAGTAAAACAGTTTCATTTTAGTAACTATGTTTATTGTGGAAATTGCTCCTAACTACTGTAGAAATTTAGATGTTGAAAAAAATGTAAATAACTCCACACCTTATGCCCGCTGAAATATTTTCTATCAAAACTCCCACAGTATTTTATAGAAAGTAAGCTATGGGAAATAATTAATATACGATCAATAGACTGCTTACTCTAGGGATCCAAAAAGGTATTTGCTCTGTGTCAGGGATATACTCAACTGGCTGGCTGTTTGTTTTGTTGTTTATTAAGGGGAAGTTAAAACTTACATCTTAAAAAAAAAGAAAAGAAAAGAAAAAAGAGTGAATAGTAAAGTAGATCAACTATACTTATAGCTAGTTAACTGCTTGGAATTTAAAGACAATGCTGCTTCCTGTATAATGGGTGATAAGCTTTTAAAGAAAGTTCTGCTAATATAATGACATCAGAATTACTGATTCCAGTAAGATAATACAGGAGTTTAAAAAAATAATAAAATAAAACTAACAAATTTACAGTCTTTACACTAAGAGGTTTCCTAAAAGTAAATATCTATTTTTCCTAAGGAAAATCTTAAGGGTCATCAGTCTTAGGGCAAACTTTGAATAGCTTTTCTTCTTTGTGCATTTCAGGCAGTTGCTGTTTCTACTCCCTATTGTAAATGCCAAACTATTCTGCATTTAAGAATATTAGTCTTTTGACTTGCATGCAGAATCAAACTGGAAGAAAAAATGGCTTTTTTTCTTTTTTCTGGGTTATGCTCTTCAGCAAACAGTTCACCATTCAGCTACACAGTTACATGACGGAACAGAGCGAACAACACTGGAGGAGGTGTGAGTTGTAGTGGACAATGAATCTTCTGCCCATTTTTTCTCCTCTATACCACAGCTGGCAGAAGGGAGGACATACCTGCATCTCGCCAGCTGAGGATCAGTCTTGTATTTTAATGTGAACTGACCTTCACAGGTAGTTAAGCAAATATGCCAGACGGTGCCTGAACTGAAGCAGTTCTGTTGTGGAAATGTCCTCCAGCAGAGGAGATAGCAGGACAGCTGGGGGTAGCAATGATTTAAACCATTGCAGCTGTTTTCCTCATTGTGCTTAAGTCACAGCTCTTAATTAAGTATACCATGTGTTGAAAAATATACCATCCTCCTAGGTAATTTGTTCCAATACTAAACTTCATGAGGAAAATTACAAATAGACATCTTTCGGAACTGAATTTAGCTGAGATCTTCCCATCATTGACCTTTTTAAGTCAATGTCTACTAGCTTGAGTCCTAGAATTCAGTATTTAGAACTTCAGTAGTGTTATCAATGAAATCTCAACTCAATCTGAATTTAGTAATATTTATAAAAGGCAAGTAAACAGCACTGGGTGTGCGGGGAGTCTACACTCCACCAACACACGCACACACGAACATAGAACATTCTAAATATACAGAACATTGCTTTACATACTAACCCGAGTACACCTGGGTCAAAAGGCAGGGAGCAGAACAGGGGGCAGAGCAGCCAAGGCCTGCGATGGCAGTACCGGCGGGGGTGCCGATGGCATAGCAGTCGGATCAGTGAAGGAGCCCGCAGCTCCCTCACTGCCTGGCAACCCACACGTGTCTGACTGTGGCCCCACAGGGCTCTGTAAGGCCTCAGAGACTGCTCGCCAGGTGCCGAGCAATCCCACCGCAACCTGGTCGCTTTTAGTTGCAGAGTCCCACACCGTGACCTCAGTCTGGTCCCGTATTTCAGGCTCATGAACTGTCCGATTGTTAATAAGGAGAATAAGCTGTACGGTTACCAGGACAGTCTCTGTTCCTAAGGACGTGTGATTCCCCATAACGCGCAGCTGCTTACCAGCGAGGGGCAGCTGTGTGTGCGGCTCCGCTTCTCTCAGCTCCAGCTTCTCTCCAGCTCCACTGTGCCCATTTCCAGCGCCTTGCTGTACGAGCTTCTTTGGGCGGTTTGCTGAGCTTGGCCTTCATGAGGCAATCAGTGTGCCTGTTCCCGTCCCGGTCTCCGTTCTGCTAGCCTGTTCCTTTTCATTCCTTCTTTCTGCTTCCTTATCGATGACATAACTTCATCGTGTTGCCTTCTTTTATCTTTAGGGCAGGCTCCCCTCTTATACCCTTCTCCCCACAGCAGTTTTTTTCAAAACAACTTTTCATTGGTCAAGCAACTTTGAATGTAACAGCAACAGCAAGCACCCAGAAACTTCCATGCCTTAATGGGTGGAGAACAAGCAACCCGAGAGTGCACGGAGTCTCCTGAATCACCCTTCTTTGTTCCCTCTAAACGCTTTTACATTCCTGATGGCCTCCTCGTTAAGAGTCTGATGTTATCATCAACCACGGGGCTTGCCGACCCCCATGGCCACACTCCCACATCTCCCCCTTCTTTATTAATATCAACCATTTTCTCGACACGAATTACCACTCCATATATAACAGTAGGATTTTTGAAAGAGTGTGAGCTAGAACTTGTATGTTTCCTAGCTCTCTGAGCTACCTTATAAAGTAACGAGGAAAGTGGAAGTGCTAATTCAGGGTAAGAAGTTTCAGTAAATGGCAGTATGGAATTAAGAAAATACCAGCTAAGCTATTAATGTTTAAGGAAAAGTCAATAAATAACAATTAATACTCTAACATTCCAATTATAAAGCAGATGAAGATAAGCAGAACAAGCAGAGTATTCTATTTCAAGTAGTGTGATCCAGAAGCTCACAGTAGATTATGACTTTACAATGCAGCTAACTCAAAGAAGGAAACAGTCTGGATAACTAATCAAAATACCCATGTTTTTATCAAACAGATTATTTTTGCCTAAAAATTAAAAAATCATTTCCCAAACAGAAATAGATTAATGCTGGCAAGTATACTCTGACCATGAGTACACATCTAATTCCAACTAATCTCGAGTAAAATCTTGGACCTCATAACTACAGCAATTAATAAAGGAAGTAGACTTGAAAGGACATGTACATACAAAGGAAACTTCATTGTATAGCTTGATTGAATCTGAACTATGTTGTCTTTAGACTTTGAAAGAATGAGAACACAAATGCAAACTTGTTAAGCATTTGCTTAGGATTGACCAATGATGAGGTAATAATTACCTTAAAATCTTTCCCTCTGAATGGAGTATTTCTGGAGTTCTCTGGGTCCTCAAAAAAGACTAATATAGAGAGATTTCTATTCTGAAATTAAGACATTTTTACTGTAAACATGTTATATAATTAGGACCTATTAACTGCAAGCATGTTAAGTTTTCTAGTACATTTTGAACTTCAAACAATATACCACAAAACCTAGTAGACATTGTGAGTTTCAAAGCAAGGACTGTATTTTATATTGGTTGATAGGCGGCTGAATATGAGCCAGCAGTGTGCTCAGGTGGCAAAGAAGGCCAACAGCATCCTGGCTTGCATAAGAAGCAGTGTGGCCAGCAGGGCTAGGGAAGTGATCGTCCCCCTGTACTCGGCTCTGGTGAGGGTGCACTTTGAGTACTGTGTTCAGTTTTGGGCCCCTCACTACAAGAAGGACATCGAGGTGCTCGAGCGAGTCCAGAGAAGGGCAATGAAGCTGGTGAGGGGCCTGGAGAACAAGTCCTACGAGGAGCGGCTGAGGGAGCTGGGCTTGTTCAGCCTGGAGAAAAGGAGGCTCAGGGGCAACCTTATCACTCTCTGTAAGTACATTAAAGGAGGCTGTAGCGAGGAGGGGGTTGGTCTGTTCTTCCATGTGCCTGGTGACAGGACGAGGGGGAACGGGCTAAAGTTGCACCAGGGGTGTTTTAGGTTGGATATTAGGAAGAACTTCTTTACTGAGAGGGTTGTGAGGTATTGGAATGGGTTGCCCAGGGAAGTGGTGGAGTCACCATCCCTGGAGGTCTTTAAAAGATGTTTAGATGTAGAGCTTAGGGATATGGTTTAGTGGAGGACTTGTTAGTGTTAGGTCAGAGGTTGGACTCGATGATCTTGAGGTCTCTTCCAACCTGGACAATTCTGTGATTCTGTGACTGGAGCACTTGTACCCTGAATTAATCAACAACTCTGAATGTTTAATAATAGTTGGATCTAATCTCAGTCAAAAGCCAGTAATGAGTCACATATTTTTGTCACTTGTCTAACTGTATTAAACATGATTTTTGTTATAGATGTGCTTAAGTAAGATAGAAATTTCAGTGGTTGCAAACACCCACTTTAATTTTGGCATGAATCCGAGTTACTGGTGAAAGGAACTGGACTGCCTCTCACCTAACGCCGAGGAAAAATGAATTACAAATAGTTTGTAGTTCAGGTCATTGTTCTAGTTCTTTAAGCAACAACAGAAATGGCTATGCCAACCCAAGGATAAAGGTACACAGCAATAGAAGAAAGTGAAACTACCTGCTTCTGCAGCAGGCTGGGTTTATGCTAGATTAAAGTGACCATATAAATACAGCCTTAGAAATGAAACTTGCTGGCTAGAAGATGCTGCTTCCTCAAATACATTAATGATTTGTTTATAACAGTTTAAGCCACAAGGGAATCCTTAAGAGGCTTTGCTTTCTGGGTAGGAGATGGCTCCACCTACTCATGCACTTGAAGCATTAGCTTTCATAAGAATTTTAATGTGATAGGAAACAATCTTTTAGGATAAAATTATAATTATCCACTGACTAAACCAGAATTCACAGAAATTTGCTGGAGGGGAAGGAAATAGAATCTCACTCTGAAGGGAACACGAGGGAAAGTTTTGGTCTGAAGATTGCACAAGTCCCCAGATCTTCATTCTCTTCCACAAAGACAAACCTAAGGAAGGCAGAATAAGAACAAATACCCAGACAGATCTCTGAGCAAGCACGTTGACAACTAGGCAATATGAAGAGAGTGAAACCTTTACATTTTTGTAGACTTCATTTTAGGAAATGTGGTTTTACTTTAAATCATTATCACATTTCATACTGTATAAATACATGTACATTGATTAAACTTAAGCACTTGGTAACTGTCAAATACTAAGGCATTCCATTCCTACTGGTGCTAAAACTGTGGTACTGCTCAGGATCACAGAGCGTGACTTAGGACTATCCATGCTAGGAAGCCATGATAGAAGTCAGTAAAAGCTGCTGTGAGAAAGAAAAGTCTTGTGATTATTAACATTAACCAGAGGCTCACTGCATTAATATGATGGTGAGGAGAGTGTGTGAACCCTGAGGTTTCCCATGGAGTCTCTTACAATAGTGTTTAAGTTAAATCACTATGTGGGTGCAGCTGCTTCAAATAACTATGTAAGAATCAAGTCCAGCTATATTGCTGTGAGTTAATGTTTAGCTTTTGCTTAAGAATAATGTTAAAACCTGTATTACTTGCTAAAGTAACACAGAGCTTCTTTCAAAAGAAATTGGTTATAATTCTTTATTTATTTATAAAGGTGCACATCGGGGCATCCTGAAGAATTCAGATTTCTCTCCATGGTTGATTATTCTCCTTATTAGTCTCATACTTTCATTCATTTTATGTCCAGAATTACCAGATGCTTCAGCACATGTAACAGCTGTTAATTTTTTCTGAGTCATGCTTAGTAGGTAACAAGCACCAAGTTGCCACAGTACTGAAAGTGATCATATGAAGATATTACAAAGCTGCATTCACCTTTAACACTGAGTGAAAAACAGTGCACATGTATAATCATCAGTGGATTTCTCTCTCACTAGATCTGTGCATCACAATATCAACTCAGTGTTGATACAGCTGGATAAGAAATATTAACAGGTAGCAATAAATCAGCGTAACTTTTACTGTTTTGGCATTAAGACATAACAAAGTGTTGGCGCTGGCTTACAAAAATGAGTAATGTGTGAAATGCAGAATGGAAAGGTATGTGTGAATGGAAAGGATGTTCTGTAAATATATCAGTATGATTTATTTTCTACCTCTGTTGCTTTTTCTGCATCTTCCCGCCGATCTTCAAAATATTCCTTTGGTTTTATACACCCACTGAATGCCATGGCCATTGCATCTACTGAGGCCTAGCTGGGAATTTGGTGTTTAACAGGTAGCTGAAAAAGGCTGAAATAGCCTTACTTTTTAGCATCTAGCAAAGCCTGATCACAAAGAGTACTTAAAGAATAACTAAATACTTCAGTGCTGGCATAAAGCACCTGCTCTCACAGATGACTAAGATATCATGTACTAACTGAAAAATACATCCCCTAATGAACATATGCCAGGAACTGTTTGGATCCAGATGTAACAGGAATGAAACATTTAGATCCTTGCCTGCCATATGGGAGACCCACATTTCATGATTAATCCCAGCCTCTTGTTCCAAGGGTTGGCATAGAGCACTGGATGAAGTAACTGCTTGAGATTATTCAGCAAAACATTTAAATGTCTGCTTTGTAGTTTCCTCTTGTGTTGCCCTTCCGTTGCATGCCCATAATCTAGCTAAGCTTGTACAAACCACTGAACTGTAGAGGGAGGTAATGCAGAAAGCGCAGCCATCTGGGCCTGCCTGAATAGGAAGAGAAAAAAAAACACCCTGACTGTGAGAGTCACTGCCTGTTATTAAAGCCAGCATTGTTTTTACGGGACTGCCAAATCTTACTAATTAATTTTCAGATTTATACTTCAGAGTGAGTCTGGCAGTGATTATATTATTCAAAAAGCGGTCATGGAGTGTTCTTAAATCTTGAAGTACGACTCCCTTTAAATTCCGAAGACTTTTAATACTTTGTGACCTCCTAACATTTGGTTTCCAGATACACATCTTTCCTTGCCAGAAAATCATAACTTATTCTTACACTAGCATTTTTGTAACCTTTCTTTTAATCAAAGCAGCTTTCTTTGGTACACATACAGAACAAAAAAGGCCACAGCATGTTATGGTCATTTCATTATGTTTATCCTCACACTGTGGCATTATCCTTTTGCCTAATGTCCCACAGCCAAACAGTGTCAGAGCTGGAGTCTCCCAGCTTCTGACTCCACTAAAGACATGGTGTTAAAAAAAAAAAACAAACAGTTATACATGCAAGGAGACAGAACAAAATTAAATGCTACGTAACAAAGGACAATTTTACTTTAAGTTAGCAATGTTCCCACTAATTCAATTGGACTGGGACTGCCCACAACATGTGAAGCCTTATGAGACCGCATGACAAAGAAGTGATGGGTTATTCTGTGCCACTTGTAAGACCCGATGTCCCTCAAGTGTTAATGCTACACCACTCCATAGCTACAGGGCTCTCCAAACAAGTGGCCAAGGAGCGAGGAGGAGCGGTGATGGGGACACATGCAGACAGTCGGCAGGGCCCAAGTGGCGCTCTCACACCCTCAGTGGCAAGCCTGACACCGGTCACCTAACGGTGTGGCCTAGTCCGGTGCTGCTTATGGGTGCTACCAGAGGCAGCTGCCGTGACAAAGGTGGTGACAAATGCACATTTTTATTTTCCTTCCAGCAGTAAACCAGCTGTTGAATGCTGTCAGTGCTGCAGGAGTGCCGGAAGGACACGGATGTACGCACCTGCTGTCCAGAGCGTGGCTGGGACTGCGGGGCCAGCGTGGGGCCGGTGCGGGGCAGCCGGCGGGCAGGGGCAGGAGGCCGGGGGCTGCGGGGGTCGCTGGGCCAGCCTCTCCCCGTGCTGGGAGGGAAATGCTCGGCCGCGGCTGCAGCAGCCCCGCCGCTGGCTCTAAGGGCCGGTCGGTGACCGGGACACGTTATTCATTAACAGGCTCCTCCGCAGTTCTCCCCGGGCTGGGCGCTGGGGGCTGAGCGCTGCGTGGCGGCCGGTGCCTGCCCCTGCCCCTGCCCCTGCCCCTGTCCCTGTCCCTGTCCCTGTCCCTGTCCCTGTCCCTGTCCCTGTCCCTGTCCCTGTCCCCCCACCTCGCCGCGGTGTCCCCGGCTCCGGCCGCGGGCAGGGAGCGGAGCCAGCGGCGGTGCCGCCCCGCGCTCCGCCCCGCTCCCTCCCGCCCCCGCCTCCCCCCGGCAGCCGGCGGCAGCCGCCCGCCCTCCGCGCACGGCGCCTGACAGCGGCTCCCGCCCGGCGGGGCTGCGCCGCGCTCCTCCCGCTGCTGGCGGCCGGGCCGGGCCGGGCCGGCGGGGAAGCGCCGCGCCGCGCTCCGCTCCGCCCCGCCGGCTGCGGGGATGTGCCATTGCCATGGCGAGGCGGCTCTTCCCGGGGGCCTGGCTCCGGCAGCCCCACTACGCGCAGGTAGGCCGGCGGCGAGGCCGCGGGGCGGGGCGGCGGGTGCCGGCAGCCTGCCGTTCCCTCCCGGGCGGCCGCCCCCCGCGGCCCGGGGCCGAGAGGTGGGAACAGGTGCGGGCCGGGCGCGGGGCCGCGGCAGCTCCGTCGCCCCTTCCTCCTGCCCGCCGGGCCGGGCCGAGCCTCCTGGGCCACCCCAGGGGCTGCGGGCCGGGACACGCCGCCGCCCGGCGCCCCGAGCTCCCCGGGCAGCCGCCGCCGTTCCCCTGCCCGCCCCTGGCGGCTCGGGGCGGGGGGCGCGGCGCCCGGGGGCGCGCTGCTGGACGCGCTCCGCCGCACGGCCCGGTACCCGCGCGAGGGGTCGCCCCTTGGGGTGTTGGCCGCGATGGCCTCGGGGTGTGTCCGGGTGGTCCTCCGAGCTTCTTTTTATCTGTTGCACTGTTTTCATTCGTAAGTGAGCAGTCATAGAATATCCAAGTTGGGGTCCCCCGCGAGGTCCACCTCCTGGGTCCCCAAAGGGCCACCCGAAATCAGCCCGTACGTCTGAGTGTTGTCCAAATGCTCCTTGAACTCCACCAGCTCGGTGCCGTGCCCCCGACCCTGGGCAGCCTGTCCCACTGCCCGACCACCCTCTGGGTGCAGAACCTTTCCCTAACCCCCAGCCTGACCCTCCCCTGTCCCAGCTTCAAGCCATTTCCTCAGGTCTTAAATTCAGTTATAGTTGAAATGAGTGTTTGAGTTGGTGGGGATTCATACAATACTTACTTATATGTTACTTATGGCTGTCATCTGTTGCTATCTTATTAAATGTTTTCTGATTGTTGGATTGAAAAATTGAATTTCATCCTGATGCATCTTAAAGTCTAATGTGTTAATTCCTTCTCATCTGGAACTTTTCTGATCCCATTCTCTTTTTGGACCTGCCTAAAATGGGACCTAAAATCCAAAGAGAAGTGTACAGACACAGGTATAACCTTATTCTCTTTGGCATTTGTTTTATGGTATGTATAAGGAAATCTAGGTCAATTATCACTTGATTTTCAGACCAGAAAATATTCTCCTTGAACTCTTTACCCCAGCGGATACTTGTGCAGCATTTGGATTCCCATAGCAGAAAGTTTCTGGGACAAATACAAATGAATTCACAGTATGTGAGCTACCTTTCAAACTAGGGTTCTGTAAATTGTCTGTCTTCTTTGCCTTGATAATAAGTTTGTCTCTGATCATCACGTGCTGATGTTGGATAATTTTTTCTCTGTTCGTCACAGCATTTACTTTAAGGCTTTTTCAGCAAAATGTGTGATTTTAAAATCTCTTAAGAAACAGCCAGGTCATTTATTAGAAAAGTCAAAGAAGTTAAATATTTGTTTCTGTTGCAAATTTTAAAAATATTTCTGCTTGTGCTTTCTCACCCTGGAAACTACTAGAGTATTCTACACACTTGTTTTGAGGAGAGCTAGTAAGAGCTTTGTGAACGTTAACTTATTTTTCTGTGTTACACAGTGAATGCGTGTTGGTAATTGATGCATCTGCAGAATGGCAGCAAGCTATCGATATATTGACTTGTGACAGCATGCTACTGTTGGTACGTGACAAATGTATTCATGGGTCAACTCTACTAATTGCTCACTGAGTGTTCTGTGGAGATTTTTGTCTCCAGAGAGGCCAGCGCTCCCTAACTAAATGCTAGACTTAACTTTCTGAGATGTAGCTATGAGCGAGAGGGGAGTTCTAGGACTTGTGCGGTGTTGCTATGCAATATTTAATGTAGCACACCAGGGAAGATGAGTGTACAATGGAAAGCGTTGCTGACTGACTTCCAAATGTTATTGGCTGGTGTTCCATTCTTTTTGAAAACTGTGTTGTGAAGTGAGTTGATAGAACATCAAGTTCTGCAACAAAGAATTTAGTACCTCCTCTAGCTTTCCTGATGCAGTACAAGCGGGATGCTATGGAGCTGGTTTGCAACTGATGCTCTTATGCCAAATGTGCTGTTATTATTTATTGTTGTCAGTATTTGACATGTTCTTTAGCTTGCATGCAGAATGCAAGACCACAGGTAATCATTTGATCTTTCTAGCGAAGGGCAATGTGCTGCCAATTATCAGCTCATACAAAAATGAGCTTGGCAAACTTCTGGACATCTTGCTTTAGTTCAAAGCTTGGAGGTTAGAGATCCACAGGAACAGTGCTGAAGTTTCAACACAAAACAGTAGCAACTATGAAATACAAAAAAATCCTGCTGCTTAGACTGTAAGGCTTGTAAAAGTGAAACAAAACAACAAAAAATTTTCAAACCTGACAAACTTCTCAACAATACTAAATACTGCCAAAAACCAAACCAAAAACAAATTTAATGGATCTTACAATTGAGTGACTAACACTTTTCTACAGCTGTGATTTAGGTTTTGCAAGGAGAGGTTAGTATCCCAAATTCATGAAATTGTCCTGAAGTTCTTTCTGATAGCTGTAGTTAATAACTGGGTTAAGAGGCTGAGGGCAAGCCAGCAGTACTGCACATGTCAATAATCACGTAAATGACTTTTCCAGGCTTGAAAGCTTTCTGGCTGCTAGAGGTTCTGGACCGAGTTTGCAGATCATTAGGGACATCCCGTGGACTTCAGTAACATAAAAGACTGTCTTTGAAGGACTAAAGAGTGAACAAGTTTTCAAGCCCCACATAATGTATCATCATCATTTTGTCTAAGCTTTTAATCCTTTTGTTGTTGTTGCTTAACCTTTCAAGGGGAAGTATCCTGCTTTCTGTCTTGATCATTATCCCTTTTGAATTTCAAACGATATGTCTTTTTTGATTATTCAGGATACAAGTAATCTGAGGAAATAGCGTAATCTTAAGTGTGCATTGTATGCTCTTAAAAATGTGAATGTGCCCAGGGCATGTCATCCAAGACAGCGTGAGCTAATATTTTCAGAGATCTTGTCAGCCTACCTGATCCTGTGATGCATAAATCAACCTGAACAGAGAAAAAAACAGCATTTCTAGCATGATCAGTTTATGATTTTTATCTGTTTTTTCCAGTTGCTAACGTAGAACAAACTGAGTGAGCAACTTGGAGATTTGGAGAGGACTACTGGGCTATGGTTATGTGAAGTACTTTGGAAAATGAAACTCTCAAAAGTGTTCACTAGTTTTGCACTATAATATCCCTTAACCATAAGAATGTTTTAAATAAAAAGTATACTTATCAAAAAAATTGGCAAATAGTTATGTTGCATTTTGATCTGCTACTCTCCATATGCTTTGGAGTGCATCCAGGCTTGAATTTTGCCAGAAGTGGTTTCCAGTTCTGTTCCAGGGAATGAATGTCTAATTATTATTCAATGCGTATGACTTAGTGGAATGTACAAATGATGGATGAAGTTGATGCCGTAATATCCTTTTAAGTATCCTTTACAAACGCTTTTCTTCTTCCTTGTGTTCCCTGGCTCGTGTTTAAAGTCTTGTTGGAAGAGTGGAGCAGAACAGAGAAATTGTATTTCCTAGTTTTGAACATTTTTTTTGGTTGTTTCTTTTTATCACTTCAGAGCTGTCAGTCATTCTGGTGCTCTGAATATATTATTTATTAAAAGTTTTCTAGGATTTTGTCAGAATTCCAAATGAAACTTGTTTATAAGTAGCATTCCCAAACTGCTACATGGGACTTCTTGCTCAGAACCGTGCTCAAACAATCTGCTGAGCGTGCATGCAGGGAGCCTGGTGCGCTCCGGGTGTACCAGCACACGTGGGCTAAGCAGGGTCAGTAAGGCTGTGTCCCTGCTGCTTCATACAGCACGCCAGGTCTGACGCTTCCTAGATGAAGTGGGCTAAATGTGTCTAGACTCCTAGACTGATTTTAAAACGGTAGGGAGAATTCATGGGAAGAACAAAATATTGATCAGAGCTTTTGCTGACCCTGATAAGGAGGTCCAGATTAAAGTACTGCCCCCTGAATCACAGCAAGCAGAACCTTGTGGTCTTCTGCAAGCAGGTGTGTGCTCGTGTCCATGCTCTGAACTGGCAAGACGTGAGTCCCACAGGTCAAGAGCCACACAAGTATGCATTGGCACAGTGCTGAGCCCAGAATAAATACAGCTTCTCCAGAACTTCATGCCAAGTGTATGATGTATTCGGATGGCATCTGGGAAGGATTTTCTGTCCCAAATGCATTTTCTCTGTCTTCGTGAGAAGGAAGACGAATTTGGATAAATGCAGATAATACAGTGTTATTTCCTGTGCTATGAATATGGTCAATGCTCAGCAGTGGTCCTGAGGCTTGCAGACCACTGCTAATCTCTGAGGTGGTACTAAATGGTATGCGTTTGATGAGAAGTTGCTTTAAATTGGCCTTTGGTTTAAAGTTTAATGTTGTAAACACACATGGAAGCAGTCAGCAAGAAACTTTGAGGAAGGCAGGGGGGTTGTTGTCCCAGAAAATGTTGATTTCTGAGTAATTTTTCATAAAGGAAACAGCTTTGCCTAAAATTTATGATTTATTTCAAATGTTCTTTAGATTTTATCAGTGGTACTGTGTTTTGTAGTATTTCTGTTCGATAATATTAGGGTTACTAGAAATAGCTAAAAAAGAAGAAGCTCACTCCCTACAGGAAATCACTACATCTTTGCTTTCAGATAGATGAAAGATAATCATTAGCACTTGCTATGATTCCTGATTCACTGGAACTTCCCATTATTCCAGGAGGGGGCAGAATAAAGAAAATAATTTTATTAGAATTTTTTGGTAATCCTATCAATAAAAGAAAAAAAATATAGAGAAGACTCTTGTGATGGGCTTTAAGAAGACCATTGTCAGAATTGTCTGTAGAAATGAGGAAGTGATAAAAATCATTTTTAGTTTTCCTTGTAGGTGTTCTGCAATGTTTTATTAAGCACTGGGTAATTAAATAGTTATGAAAGGTTCACTTCTAAAAAAAAGTAATAATTTGGAAAAAACAAACACTCTTTTTCATACTCAAACTTTGTCCCAAGCATGCTGTTCTATGCAGACTGATTTTCCAGACTGACTACAGCTGTGGAACAATAATTTTTCATATCTTTTCACTTAGTATCTGTAAATCACATCTGTGTCCTTCTTGTGGTTGCTTGTTTGTAATAATTTGCCACTCATGTTTTTTTTTCCAAAGTTTTATGAGCTTCCGTTTCTCACAGATGCTGCTTGAATTACTGAAAACTTTCTACCATTATGGTTGGTATCCCTTTGTGTTCATGGGTAGAATTTCACATAATAGAAGTTGTCATGTTACTTTGAACCTCCAAAAGTGTGTGTGATGGAGTTAAAGATCCCGATCTGGACTTGTGTGAGCTAGAAAGCCCTAGAAGACAAGCTGGGGATTTGAAGTAAACATATCCAGAAACTCTGTGCTGATGCAATTTCTATCATAGATCATTTTTATGTGTGGTATTGGGGATCAAACTGTGGAATGTATTTCAGATCATGACAGTTTCTGTTAAATCATACTTCTTTAGACAAACAAAACTAAAAATTGCTTTTAAGAAAAAGCACTTGGAGTTGCCAGAACATCTGTTGCAGAAGAAAGGAGATGTCTTGCAATAGCTTCTGCCTTGGTTTGATTAATTTGTTTCAGGGCAATATCCATCTTACAGGCAAAAGTTGAAGTAAGATTGTGTGTGAGTTTTCTGTTTTTGTTTGTTTTGTTTTTGTTTAAGTGAAATGTGCAATATGATGGGAACAGGAAAAAGATCCTTAGGTAAGTTGGGCTTTCCTATTTGGAAAGAGTAAAAAGGTTCAGTCCCCTCCCCATCCTACATGAAAAGTGGCCATTGGTGATGCTGTTTCATCTGAACACTACCAAGCAGCAGTCCTGAGTCTTTTCAGTGACAATGCTGGATGCTGACGCCAAAGGGGAGGTGAAAGTAGGCACTGAGATAAGCAGAACAACTCACACCTCTCAGAGCTGCTTCTGGCTTTTCTCTGCATCAAGTGACGATCTCTCCCTTGTGGGAAAATTCCACTAAGACACAAATCTTCCTCCTTGAACTTTGTGTTAGAATAATGAGTTACAGATGGATCACAACACTGGAATAAAAGGAGTTATCAATGGAAGACTTAGCCATCCTTAGGGAGATACTGGTGTCCACAAAGACATTTTGTTTCTCAATAACTTGTTGTGCACATGGATTTTGGAAAGAAATGGTTGGGGCCATGGTTTCACTTTATCATCCTCTTTGTCTGACTTGAATAACAGAACTTAAAGGCAATGTAGAATTCAATATGGGGTGAACAGGGACTTGGACTGTATGAAATAGGTCCTCTATATGCTACCCCAAGGAAGCTAAGTAAACCTAACATCGAACCTTTATCAGTGTAATCATAAGGACTGACAGTCACTACTTTGGCATATGATTTTTAGCTGGCTGAAATGGCTGAGATGTAAATTAGGTTCTTTTATGTTGCAAGAATGGACGTTCTGGTTGCAGTTTGTTTATAGATAGTAGCCTTGAACAGGAAGAAAGTAAGAAATGCTATAACTGAATACAGTTTGTGTTGACTTTATTTTTTTTTCCTCTTAAAGATTTGCAAAGTTGGTCTTGCCTTAGAGTTGTGG